ACTATTTTTTTGATAAGACACCTCAAATACAACATGGTGAATCAAATTGTATTTCTTGCGGAGAAGTTATCCTAACAACTGAATACAATTGACTGCAGCAGTCATATCATGCTCCAATTTGCATGTGAAGTTATAATTTGCATCTTTTTGCATATTTTATCATGTTTCGAGATTTTTTGATTTTTTTCAATATTTTTTGAGATTTTTTGAGTTGTTAAAATGATTTTTCCTATTATCCCCTCGAGATATTTTAATATTTTTCTAGATTTTTTGAATTGATTGTTGCTATTTAAATCTCTTATCGAGATTTTAAAATTTTTTTGAAAGTCTTCCATTCCAAGACCTCTCCGGTGAAGGTCATTGAATTTTCTTGGTGAGTATGGCTGTCGTGGCATCCTGCGGCAGATTGTCCTGCTTCAAAGCGGCAAAACGGTGCACGAGCTGCGGATTGGCGTTCAGAGTCTAAATCCTTTGCAAGATGGTACAGAAATCCTGCGAGCAAATCGGAATCTGTTTGGTAGGGCGAAGGGTCTGAACTTTGGCGTCCCACGCAAGGTATTGCCAACGATGATCCTCTGTAAATATCTCCTTGGAAATCAATATCCTTACCAATTCGTCATCTTTTCGATCGAAATTAGGCTTGCCAACCCATGAAATCAACTCCTGAATAAAGGTCTAAAACAATATCTGACGTAGGGATTGCGTGACTTCCCCAGCCAATTTCTGCATATTCCACAGCTTGGATTTCTCGAGAAGCAATGGCATCAAATTTCCCCGTCCACACTGACCAAATATCAGGAACGAACGATCCATATTCATAGCATTCAATTGACCATATCATCATGAAGTTTATCCTTACGGATGAGGAAAGCGCTGACACCTTCCTGCGGCTTGCGGCTTAACCTTCGGTAGTAGCCGCCGATCTTAAAACCCGCGTCAGGGAAGGAGTTGTTTATTGAGAGGATTCTCTTCGAGGTACTTAACGAGCTTTACTACGTCCTTTTCTAATTAAAATTCCTCTAGATGCAACTTATACATGAATTAAACAACTACTACATGGTTGGATTGAAGGGCCTTTTGAACGATCCGAGCTGCTAGGACAGGTCTTTCGTTGGCTTTCGAAGAATGGAGGGTCCACTTGCATGCATTCCATTATAAAATGCCCAAATGAGATGTATCGGTCATCCCAACAACGAACAAAATTAGACCCATCGGGTCCCTTTTCCACCATCAACCAAGATTCCAATCAAAATCCTAATCGAATCTATGCTACACGATACCAATCTCGTTAATCAAAAGTAATCACAACAAATCAATATGAAATTCCTTATAAACGTATAGCTTCGGTTCGAAAATATCCACTAGTAAAATATTTTATTCCCATATTCAATCAAATATATATATATTTCATATATAATTTCAATATATCCACCTGCTTAAATACTACAACATATAAATATATAATTTCCAAACCAAACTAAGAATCTAATACATCCGAAAACCATATTAATAATTGATTTTATTTTATTATATTTATATATATATAATAAATATAATATTACAATATTATCATTAAATTAATATTCCAATTTAATTATATATATATACAATATATTCATTAAATAAAAATATTTCTAATCCATACAATCTATAAATATAATCTATAAAAATTAAATTCAAATAATTCAAATATATCTAAATATTATTTAATTCATATATATATATAAATTATATATAAATCTATATATATAATATATTAGTTATATTGATTCATTTTGATATATATAATTTTGATATATTTATATATTTATGATTTGGGGGTTGGCCGATTGTAAAGCATTGTGTTTAACCGAAGAGATCAAATTCCATCTCCTGGAAAGGATGTGTAGGATTGCTCTTGGCATTCAATCTATATATTCAATGATCATTTCAATTCTTTGCAGGGTTTCTTTTTTGAAAAAACACGATATAAGATGATATAAGTATCATTGTGACCTGACCTCTGGTGCACTCCTCTTCTTCCTCCTCTTCCACGACCTTCTTCTCCTGTCAGGCACTCCCAAGCAGATTCTACCCACAAAAGGAGGCTTCCAACGCCCCGAATGGCCTTCAAGCACAGTTGTCAAATTATTGAGATACTTGCTTTGAGAAGAAGCATCGATAAAAAGCCCTTTTGGGTTACAAAATATTTCAATTCAAACCTAAATGGAGAAACCATTACAAAACCTGACCCGGGATACGCTCCTCTTTGGCACCCCCATCACCGCCGGCTGCTGCGCCGCCTGCACAAAGCACCGGTCTGGTGTTGATCCCAAAGAAGCTGGAAGCATGAGTCGGTGTGTTTTCTATCAGAAACATTGGGAGTGAACCTGTAAGTGCCTTCCATGCCGTCTCCAATCGAGGAGACCGCTGGCTCCTATCTCTGGGTAGATCACTCACCCGCTACACCTGTGCAAGGGTTCTACCCACTGCCCCGGTCTCCCACATCATTTACTGTCCTTGAAGTTGTGTCCGAGATACATAAACCAATTGACCTCTGGCATAATCATCCGCCATTCCTCTGGCCTATATCCACCATTTCCATATTTATGTAAGTTTCATGCATTTCTATGTACAGTGTGTTATACCGTACATATGTCATATGTATTTATAGTAATAATTAGTTATATGCATGTACTCATAATAAAACACATATTTTGCTCCAGACGTGACAACTTCTACTTTTCCTATAGAACGTTCGAACTAAGTGCACACAAAATTCCTAGTCCACTGGAGACAAGACCAAAATTAGAGTACAAAAAGTGTGAACACGCTACGGGAATACGACACAACACGACAGAATTATTTCCTTGTGACCAGTTGTTGCAGAAGGGAATCCTGCATAGTGAGATATTTGGCCTTGCAGGTTTCAGCAGGTTTCACACGCTTGATTGGCAACTGGAGCTGGAGCTCGATCAATCATGCATGATCGAGAACGCCTGGAAGAAGCTTCCCCTCGACATCAACCCGCGCTTGAACCATGGGTGGCTGTCCGTGAGTTGAACACCTTTAGCCTCCAGTTGACTTCAATTGGACAAATTGGTTGGGGCTAGGCCCCTTGCATCTTTTGAGCAGTAGTGGTGTTGGAAAAGGGTCTTGTTCGAGGTGGCCTTCCACACATGTCTCAAAGTAATTGCATGTTGAAAGCACAAGGAACAAGAAGCTACTAGGGGCTCCTGGCATCGCTACTAGGAGCAAGGATCTTGTCAGTGTCGCTCCCTGAGACGATCAACGGCCCGAACACACGGCTTTTGGTTGTGTTTGAGGGAACTTCGTCAAACATTTGGTCCAGCCCTGCATCGACTTATATTAGACACGCCCAAAAGGAAGAATGCGACTCCAGACCTCCGGTTGGGGTACCTCCAATTCTTCAGGGACTTCAACGTCCTAATCAGGCCTCCTCCGCCACCGCTTGCGGCACCACCGCCGCCGCCACCACCACCACCGCCGCCGCAAGCGGCGAACTTGGTGAAGCCGGTCTTAATCATCTCTTCCACCTCAGACGAAAGAAGGACTGCCACAGGCAGTTACAAATAGGCAGTTGCAGCAGTTTGGGTATCCCTCAAATATCGAACAGCACATGAGGTATGCTGCCTATGTTGATCTATGTTATATCATTTAAGGCCTACGCTGCAGTTTGTGCCTTAGCTTACGTGAGCACAGCATCTTGTGTGTGTGCATTTCGTGGTTCAGCTTGCGCAAGAAGCTTACTCACGCAAGCTTACTTGGCTTCCACAACACTGATATGACAAGTTCATTGCCAAAAAATGAGCAAGGAGGGGGGGGTTAAGCGAGGCTCACATGGATCTAAGGGGAAAAACTGATGGACATCCAGGAATTTCATGGATTTCATGGGAATCACAAACTCGAAGACTCACAGGGCCCGGCGGAATTCACAACTCTCTTTTTCGTTTTTGTGATCCCTACCTTCTTGCCATCCATCTTCTCACACACCGTGGTGATCATCTCCTCCTCGTAGCTAATGCCACCAGCCTGTTGAACTCATTCGCTTCACAGTTCCACGGCCGGAGGCCAAACTCAACTACGAGTACCACATACTGCCACATACTAGCGATGGCCTCCAACCTACCAGCGATGGCCTCCACCCTCATACCACTGCCAAGTCCTTTTCATACCAAGCTTGGTCCGCCCACCGGCTGACTTGACGGGTTTCCCCACCTCCAGAATGGTCTTGATGTCCGCGGCGCTGGGGCTCTCCTACAAAGGAGGGCAGTCCCAACCGGGCGAAACCAAAGAATCTGAACTGCGATGCGAAAAAGTCAAAGGTTTCACTTGTCGGTGTTGAAGCAATTGTTCATTTAAGTGCCCAGATCCCTCTTTATGCAAGTATATACATGCGTCACTTTGAACATCTTTAGCTTTCGAAAAAGGCCGCAACAAGCTCCTCACGTCTAGACCAAGCAAGCGACGAGCGAAACTGCTGCTTTTTCACACACTGTGTGACCCTAGCGGTTCTGTGACCTGTCCCCCATCACCATCTGAAAATCTCCATCACTTCCATGCCTGACCGATCGGGCAAAGGGACAAACATGATTGCTATGAGTGTATGTGTACTGTATGTGTATATATATAGTCAAACGCAAAACCTACGCTCAAGTGCTTGCACAACCACAAATTGGTTGAATCCAGTTGAATCTGTACACCTAGTAGGGCAAACAATCAGAACATATCAGAACGTGTCTCACTCCTATCACACCAAACAGAAAAATGAACAAGAACAAGAACGAGAACAACATTAAAATAAACAAAAAAACAAGACCTTGTCGAAATCGCCTCCAACACTCTCGTCTGGAGCACTACATAATATGATGTAAAACATCCGGCCACATTCTGTACATGTGGCCACAGGATGTTACATCCTCAACACTGGGTGGTGCTGTCCTCATAAAGAGTAACTACTCATGACTCATGATGTGTGGACTTGTCCGGCAACCATGGCGTCAAACATGGGAAAGAAACGAAGCCTTCAGGGCCTGGCCTGCTTTGAAAGGATTGTCAGGTCGAATTGCGAAGGGCCGCTTGGCCAAAGCGGTGAAGAAGCCTTCCCGGGGCACTTCTGTATTGGCTTTCGCAAGATTTCCCGAAGGCATTCCCGAGCGCATGGGGAAGCGAAGGTTGTTGGTGAAGTCAAGCCAGTCCTCAAGGCTGTGACACTGTGACTCTCCACCCTCCCCCTTCCGTGCATATCTACAATTGAACCAGCATGAAGTGATACCCTGCCAGTGCCTCCCACTCTGTCCAAGTGGCTGCCTTGCGCATTGCATCCACCAAAGGATCTGAAGCCTCTGTATACTTGTGGTGGTTCATGATGATGTCCTCGATCTGCTTCCTGAAGTTCTATCACACCAAAAACAGCACCAGGCAATGATTTCAATGTGTATATATATATATATGTACGTATACGTAGATATATATATATAACTATATATATATATTCCAATTCTCTGCTCACCTGAAAAAGGTGATATCATGGTCGCAAGAACCACCCAAAGGAGCAGAGGATGCCACTGGGCGTTCAGCAATTGTCTCGGGTGGAAGCAACTCTAAAGATTGTTCTTCTGTGCATTCCAATTCTGCATGCTCCAAGTGGCCTTTTGTGTAATCACAGGAACTTCTGCGCAACTATCACTCATGTAGGCAAGTGGGAAGACTTGCTACTGGGACATACCATCTTCGGACATTCCCGGTCAAGTATCAACTCAGGCTCTGAGAAGGTTCCGCTTAAGTCTTTCCGCGCCCTCGCTGGCCAGTGATCAGCTTGGTTCAAAAGTGACAAGAAATCAGGCATCGTGTCTCCAAAAACCAAAAAACACAAGAACTTCTTCACCAGAATCAAACCTAAGTTAGGACATATCTGCAAAGCACACTCTTGACTCGTGCTGCGCCTCTCAGCGCTGGGGCCTAAATAGCTAGCCTTCAAGTCCTCAGTGGATGAAAGGTCTGACATCCAAAAAGATCAGTTCCAAGGAACGAACATCCACATCGGTGGAACGCTACTAGTAACAAGTGCCACGCTACTAGTAACAAGTGCCTTACTAGTAGTAACAAGTGCCTTACTAGTAGTAACAAGAATAATTGAATTTCAATTCTAAAAAGATCAGTTCCAAGGAACGAACATCCAGATCCTAGTCCAAAATTGAAAACGCACAGCTTGGTGGAACCATGTGGAACCTTTCCAGCATAGATCGACCCTGCATTGCCTCATCCTACATGAAAGTTGCAGTTCATGCAGGTTGCAAACATTTAAAGCTCAAACAGCTCCGAGTAGCTACTTGCTCCTAGTAGTACGGCCAGGAGCCCCTAGTAGCGTCCTTGCTCCTAGTAGCGATGCCAGGAGCCCCTAGTAGCGAACATTGTTACTAGTAGCAATGCACCTGTAGCTACTAGGGTGAAGCCCCCCGGGGTTCCCATCGTGCTTCCCCATCAAGGCTTTGAGGTCGGGATACAACAGCAATGGATCTTTTGACTTCAGCGACAAACAGGTGCAGGGATATATAGTCTTGCAAATGCAGGATTAGCAATCTTGGACTCTTCAAATAGCTGCTAACAATTTTAGACATTCAAACACAAGCAAACTTGGACCAACATCATATCTGATCAAGATGTTGCTGACTTCTTTCGTCCAAGTAACGCTCCAAAGGCCCAGGTCATGGTAGGCCAGCGCGGCCTCGAGGACTTTCTTTGGGCCTCACAAACGAGTAAGGTAGTGATACCAATGTGGGGCTCAATGCCATGGCAACGCAATACACGAAGCCCCCCAAGCAAGCTCCGGAAGACACTTCGCGAGCAAAATCTCATGTGACAAGCAAGTCTCCGGTTGGAGACATATCAGTTGGCACACTGATTAAAAAAATGCACACGACACCTGATTGCCATACTACATCTATCGAATCTATTCATTGACCTTTCTTTCTACACAAGTATTAATATGTACGTGCAATTGTATATTGCAAAGATCTTGTACACATAGGTTTATTTGGGCATGCGGCATGCCTCTTTACATTTAACCTGCATAATTGTCTCATCATTTGATTTGCATGGTGACCAGGAAAAAACCACAAGGAACGGAGGCAAGCAACACTTATCATAAAAATTCTACACCTATGGTAGTCAAGGACATGCTGTCATCTTTTAGCCATGGGCCATGGGCAGAATCTTTGAGCATAAAGCTACTGGTTTCAAATCATCCATATATTTCGACTGTCCAACAACGGCTCTTCCGAGCGGCGAGCGTCAATCTCGTCATTATATCCATGCTTGGGTTCCAGACATGAGACATTCAAACTTGTGGCCCAGAGGGGGGTGGCGAAAGCTAGGCAAATAAACAACGCTGGGGCTCTTTAGGCAGCAAAAGCCTGGCCGGGAATCGCAACATGCCATGGCCAAGGGAAAAGGAGACTGCCAACAGCGCCCCCCCAATATGATCCCAACACAGCCAACACATGGCAACACACAACCACCCCAGCAGCAACAGCCACAACAACAATAACTGTAACCCGCAGCGGCAGCGGCAGCAAGCAGAAGCTTCCAAGCAGCAGCAGCAGCAGCAGCAGCAGTGGCTAGCAAGCAGCAGCACCAGCTACCAAGCAGCAGCAGCAGCAGGAGCAGCTACCAAGCAGCAGCAGCAACAACAGCTACCAAGCAACAGCAGCAGCAGCTACCAAGCAGCAGCAGCAACAACAGCTACCAAGCAACAGCAGCAGCAGCTACCAAGCAGCAGCAGCAGCAGCAGCAGCAGCTACCAAGCAACAGCAGCATCAGCTACCAAGCAGCAGCAGCAGCAGTAGCAGCAGCAGCTACCAAGCAGCAGCAGCAGCAGCAGCAGCAGCACCCAAGCAGCAACAGCAGCCAAGCAGCAGCAGCAGCAGGAGCAGCTACCAAGCAGCAGCAGCATCAACAGCAGCTACCAAGCAGCAGCAGCAGCTACCAAGCAGCATCACCAGCTACCAAGCAGTAGCAGCAGCAGCAGCAGGGAAAGAGTGAGCTTTCCTTAGAGTCTTTCGTGCCCCAACATTTGGTCTCGAACAATAGCACATATAGGTGCTGCCTGAGTAATTGTAGAAGGGCGACGTGGAAAGACAGATATATCTGATATATCTGCTTTTTCACGAATAAATGCTGACGATGCAGCCAGCAGCGGTGTGCATGATTGACATCTAGGGGTTGTATGCGAACATGTGTCAGCGACCGAAGACTCCGTCGCAACGCTTGTGCATGCTCCCTGTCGCTCGAACATGGAACGCGGACTACCATGAGTGAAGCAAACAGCCCGTTCAAACATCTTACTGGGTTCTGTCATTCATGTGTGAAGTAAGTATCATCTTTTGATCTGCATGGATAGCGGATAGTGCATTCTGATTTGTACTCTTGGGTTGTGGGGTGGGTACATGCCTGTACAAGCTTCTTAAGGATACAATGAAATTAGCATCGTTTCACGAGTCAGAGGGAATGCAACTCGATTCTAACGAATTGGCTTTCTTCAGCGCCAACAGCAGCCAACAACCCCAAACAGCAACAGCAGCAAAACGGAGCAGACAACAGCAGGCAGCCATGCAAGCAGCAAGCAGCAGCAACCAACCAGCAAGCAGCCAAGAGCATCCAGCATGCAAGCAGCAAGCAGCAGCAACCAGCGACCAAGCAGCACCAGCAGGTACCGAGGAGGAGAGGAGAAGGGTGGAGTTGAACCCCGCGAGGGGGGGGGTCTAGTCCTGATATATCAGGTAATAGTCCTCAGCTTCCACCCTCCTTGCTAAAGCAAGACAGACTCCAGCTAGCTACAGCTAGCTTTCGCGATTTCGTGATAATTGATGTAAATGTCGAGCAAGCTCATGTGAAGTTCCTTCTTTCCACCAATGCCTCTCCATTGCCGAGTTTCAACCATGTTACATATACATCAACTGAACCCGCATAGTTTCAGAATTTCAAAGCGCAGCATTGAAACTCAACACCCTGATTCAGCCCCTTGGCTGCTTTGGCCTGCGTCGGGCTCTTTGCCGAGGAAGTAACTCGTGAAGGACATCACCCGCAAGCAGTGATTCCTTCATGTTTGATGTTATCTGACCAAACACTACAGTAGAGGTAGACCATACCAACGTGCACATGCATAGAGGAAACATGAGGAGACACTGAAGTAAAGCTGCTGCGAAATGCTGCTGTCGTCAAGATGCGATGTCAGCTTGTAAAACCCAGGTGCTCTGAAAATGTTCTTAATTATTCAATTCATCTCTTCCGATCTGTGGACCAGTCCTATAGGCCAAATAGTCCTCTCCCAGGTCTTTCTCGTACCTTAGTGCAAACAACATGCGAGTGAAGTGACGAGCTTTACCACTGATGGTACAGTATATAGTACATATTTATATAATGGGTGCATGCAAAGAGGCTCGAAGCGAAACATGTTGGTTTCATCTCTATTTCTCACTTGGAAGGACCAGCTACAGTACCAGCATGGGTTCGTGCACCTGGAAAATTGGGCCACCACCTGGTCTGAGTCGTAGCAAATCTGAACTCTCGACCTTTCAAGGTACCTTCTCGACTCCCAATGTCCCCATTCAGTGAAGTAACAGCTTCAAGCGCTCCATCAAGAAAGGTGCGTCATCTGGCTGCAACACCTCCGGGAATACCAAACAGGAGCATATACTGGGAATACATAGCTTCTTGTTACTAGTAGCTACTTGCTCCTAGTAGTACGGCCAGGAGCCCCTAGTAGCGTCCTTGCTCCTAGTAGCGATGCCAGGAGCCCCTCGTAGCTTCTTGTTGGGAATCGTGGGAATACTATCACTTGCAAAGGGCTGCAGAGTCTCAGGTGTTCAAAACTCAACGGGTGTGTCAGACTAGGTTGACGCTCGAGCCACGAATCTCTGCTTTGCCATGGCTGCCATGGCTCCTTCCCTTGGGAATCGTTTCCACTGGGAATCGTTTCACCTGTAGTAACAAGAAGCTTTTTAGTAGGTCTTTGAACCTTTTTAGTATGTCTTCGAAGCTTCTTAATAAAGCTTTCTAGTAACTAGAAGCTTCCATAGCTGTCATGGCTCCTTTATTCCTGCAAGCCGGACTTACACATCCCACAGCGGGGAAGATTTCGGGAAATGCCTTGAAGCCGGCGCTGGGTTCGCCAGGCAAAAAGAACGGCTGAAGGTAGTAGCCTGAGCGGTGCAGCTTTTGAGATATTGGCACGGACATAGATAGTAACTCATTTCCGCTCTTTCTCTATGATGGACCCTGCAAGATATTGCGTTCCACTTTTGAGAGAGCGAGAAGTCGAGTCGACTGTTTGATCTTGCTTGGGATCTTCCCCAAGTCGACGGGGTTGTGAGGGGATGCCTAGACTCTAGACAACACCCAATTGGATCCAACTGGTGTGTCCATGTGTCCACACTCTGACACTTGTATTCAGTGACTCAATTTCCACGATGGGAAGGATGGCGATGGAATCGCAAGGTGGCAAAGTCCGCTGAAAAGTATTGTTGAACACTGTTGGCAGTTGCAATCGAAAACGATCTGACACTCAAAGTCGGCTGCAAAGCGGCGCAAAAC